GTGGAAGAAAGGAAGGCCAGAGGAATCAGAATTTGGAGCAGGACAGAAAGAACAAGAACAAGAAGAATATGGCGGAGGAGAATGAGAAGAAGGAGATGAAGGTGCAGGTACAAGAAGAAGAAGAAGAAGAAGAAGAAGAAGAAGAAGAAGAAGAAGAAGAAGAAGAACGTGCAGTATGACAAGAAGAAATGGGTGGTAGAGGAAGGCCAGAGGAATCAGAATTTGGAGCAGGACAGAAAGAACAAGAACAAAGAAGAATATGGCGGAGAATGAGAAGAAAGGAGATGAAGGTGCAGGTACAAGAAGAAGAAGAAGAAGAAAGAAGAAGAAGAAGAAGAAGAAGAAGAAGAACGTGCAGTATGATGACAAGAAATGGGTGGTAGAGGAAGGCCAGAGGAATCAGAATTTGGAGCAGGACAGAAAGAACAAGAACAAAGAAGAATATGGCGGAGAATGAGAAGAAGGAGATGAAGGTGCAGGTACAAAGAAGAAGAAGAAGAAGAAGAAGAAGAAGAAGAAGAAAGAACGTGCAGTATGACAAGAAGAAATGGGTGGTAGAGGAAGGCCAGAGGAATCAGAATTTGGACAGGACAGAAAAGAACAAGAACAAGAAGAATATGGCAAGAAGAAGAAGAAGAAGAAGAAGAAGAAGAGATGAAAGAAGAAGAAGAAGGAAGAGATGCCAGAGGAAAGAAGAATTTGGTGCAGGACAGAAAGAACAAGAAGAATAAGAAAGAAGAAGAATGAAGGTGCAGGTACAAGAAGAAGAAGAAGAAGAAGAAGAAGAAGAAGAAGAAGAACGCAGTATGACAAGAAGAAATGGGGGTAGAGGGAAGGCCAGAGGAATCAGAATTTGGAGCAGGACAGAAAAGAACAAGAACAAAGAAGAATATGGCGGAGAATGAGAAGAAGGAGATGAAGGTGCAGGTAAGAAGAAGAAGAAGAAGAAGAAGAAGAAGAAGAAGAAGAAGAAGAAGAAGAACGTGCAGTATGACAAGAAGAAATGGGTGGTAGAGGAAGGCCAGAGGAATCAGAATTTGGAGCAGGACAGAAAGAACAAGAACAAGAAGAATATGGCGGAGAATGAGAAGAAGGAGATGAAGGTGCAGGTACAAGAAGAAGAAGAAGAAGAAGAAGTAGAAGAAGAAGAAGAAGAAGAAGAAGAAGAACGTGCAGTATGACAAGAAGAAATGGGTGGTAGAGAACAAGAAGGCCAGAGGAATCAGAATTTGGACAGGACAGAAAGAACAAGAACAAAGAAGAATATGGCGGAGAATAAAAGAAGAAGAAGGAGATGAAGGTGCAGGTGAGAAGAAGAAGAAGAAGAAGAAGAAGAAGAAGAAGAAGAAGAAGAAGAAGAAGAAGAAGAAGAAGTGCAGTATGACAAGAAGAAATGGGTGGTAGAGGAAGGCCAGAGGAATCAGAATTTGAGCAGGACAGAAAAAAGAACAAGAACAAGAAGAATATGGCGGAGAATGAGAAGAAGGAGATGAAGGTGCAGGTACAAGAAGAAGAAGAAGAAGAAGAAGAAGAAGAAGAAGAAGAAGAAGAAGAAGAAGAACAGAATTTGCAGTATGACAAGAAGAAATGAATTGGTAGAGGAAGGCCAGAGGAATCAGAAAGAAGAGAAGGACAGAAAAGAACAAGAACAAGAAGAATATGGCGGAGAATGGTAGAGGAAGGAGATGAAGGCAGGTACAAGAAGAAGAAGAAGAAAGAAGAAGAAGAAGAAGAAGAAGAAGAAAGAAGAAGAAGAAATGGGGTGGTAGAGGAAGGCCAAGGAACGTGCAGAAAGAACATGAACAAGAAGAAATGGGGTGGAATGAGAAGAAGGAGATGAAGGCAATCAAGAAGAAGAAGAAGAAGAAGAACAGAAGAAGAACAAGAAGAAGAAGAAATATGACGAAGAGAATGGTAGAGGAAGGCCAGATGAAGGTGGAGCAGGTACAAGAACAAGAAGAATAAGAATGAGAAGAAGAATGAAGGTGCAAGAAGAAGAAGAAGAAGAAGAAGAAGAAGAAGAAGAAGACGTGCAGTATGACAAGAAGAAATGGGTGGTAGAGGGAAGGCCAGAGGAATCAGAATTTGGAGCAGGACAGAAAGAACAAGAACAAGAAGAATATGGCGGAGAATGAGAAGGAGAGATGAAGGTGCAGGTACAAGAAGAAGAAGAAGAAGAAGAAGAAGAAGAAGAAGAAGAAGAAGAACGTGCAGTATGACAAGAAGAAATGGGTGGTAGAGGAAGGCCAGAGGAATCAGAATTTGGAGCAGGACAGAAAGAACAAGAACAAAGAAGAATATGGCGGAGAATGAGAAGAAGGAGATGAAGGTGCAGGTACAAGAAGAAGAAGAAGAAGAAGAAGAAGAAGAAGAACGCAATGACAAGAAGAAATGGGTGGTAGAGGAAGGCCAGAGGAATCAGAATTTGCAGGACAGAAAAAGAACAAGAACAAGAAGAATACGAGAAAGAAGAAGATGAAGGTGCAGGTACAAGAAGAAGAAGAAGAAGAAGAAGAAGAAGAAGAAGCCAGAACGTGCAGTATGACAAGAAGAAATTTAGAGGGGGCCAGAGGAATCAGAATTTGGAGGACAGAAAGAACAAGAACAAGAAGAATATGGCGGAGAATGAGAAGAAGGAGATGAAGGTGCAGGTACAAGAAGAAGAAGAAGAAGAAGAAGAAGAAGAAGAAGAAGAAGAAGAAGAAGAAGAACGTGCAGTCAGAATGACCAAGAAGAAATGGGTGGTAGAGGAAGGCCAAGAGGAATCAGAATTTGGAGCAGGACAGAAAAGAACAAGAACAAAAGAAGAAGAATGAATGCAGGTACAAGAAGAAGAAGAAGAAGAAGAAGAAGAAGAAGAAGAAGAAGCAGTATGACAAGAAGAAATGGGTGGTAGAGGAGATGAATTTGGAGCAGGCAGGTACAAGAATGAGAAGAAGGAATGAAGGTACAAGAAGAAGAAGAAGAAGAAGAAGAAGAAGAAGAAGTGCAGTATGACAAGAAGAAATGGGTGGTAGAGGAAGGCCAGAGGAATCAGAATTTGGAGCAGGACAGAAAAGAACAAGAACAAGAAGAAATATGGAGAATGAGAAGAAGGAGATGAAGGTGCAGGTACAAGAAGAAGAAGAAGAAGAAGAAGAAGAAGAAGAAGAAGAAGAAGAAGAAGAAGAACGTGCAGTATGACAAGAAGAAATGGGTGGAGGAAGGCCAGAGGAATCAGAATTTGGAGCAGGACAGAAAAAAGAACAAGAACAAGAAGAATATATGGAGAATGAGAAGAAGGAGATGAAGGTGCAGGTACAAGAAGAAGAAGAAGAAGAAGAAGAAAGAAGAAGAAGAAGAAGAAGAAGAACGTGCAGTATGACAAGAAGAAATGGGTGGTAGAGGAAGGCCAGAGAATCAGAATTTGGAGCAGGACAGAAAAGAACAAGAACAAGAAGAATATGGCGGAGAATGAGAAGAAGGAGATGCAGTACAAGAAGAAGAAGAAGAAGAAGAAGAAGAAGAAGAAGAAGAAGAAGAAGAAGAAGAAGAAGAAGCAGTATGACAAGAAGAAATGGGTGGTAGAGGAAGGCCAGAGGAATCAGAATTTGGAGCAGGACAGAAAAGAACAAGAACAAGAAGAATATGGCGGAGAATGAGAAGAAGGAGATGAAGGTGCAGGTACAAGAAGAAGAAGAAGAAGAAGAAGAAGAAGAAGAAGAAGAAGAAGTGAACAGTATGACAAGAAGAAATGGGTGGTAGAGGAAGGCCAGAGGAATCAGAATTTGGAGCAGGACAGAAAGAACAAGAACAAGAAGAATATGGCGGAGAATGAGAAGAAGGAGATGAAGGTGCAGGAAGAAGAAGAAGAAGAAGAAGAAGAAGAAGAAGAAGAAGAAGAAAGAAGAATGACAAGAAGAAAATGGGTGGTAGAGGAAGGCCAGAGGAATCAGAATTTGAGCAGGCAGAAAGAACAAGAACAAGAAGAATATGGCAGAGAATGAGAAGAAGGAGGAAGGTGCAGGTACAAGAAGAAGAAGAAGAAGAAGAAGAAGGACAGAAGAAGAAGAACAAGAATGACAAGAAATGGGTGGTAGAGGAAGGCCAGAGGAATCAGAATTTGAGGAGGACAGAAAGAACAAGAACAAGAAGAATATGAAGAAGGAGATGAAGGCAGGTACAAGAAGAAGAAGAAGAAGAAGAAGAAGAAGAAGAAGAAGAAGAAGAACGTGCAGTATGACAAGAAGAAATGGGTGGTAGAGGAAGGCCAGAGGAATCAGAATTTGGAGCAGGACAGAAAGAACAAGAACAAGAAGAATATGGCGGAGAATGAGAAGAAGGAGATGAAGGTGCAGGTACAAGAAGAAGAAGAAGAAGAAGAAGAAGAAGAAGAAGAAGAAGAAGAAGAAGAACTTGCAGTATGACAAGAAGAAATGGGTGGTAGAGGAAGGCCAGAGGAATCAGAATTTGAGCAGGACAGAAAGAACAAGAACAAGAAGAATATGGCGGAGAATGAGAAGAAGGAGATGAAGGTGCAGGTACAAGAAGAAGAAGAAGAAGAAGAAGAAGAAGAAGAAGAAGAAGAACGTGCAGTATGACAAGAAGAAATGGGTGGTAGAGGAAGGCCAGAGGAATCAGAATTTGGAGCAGGACAGAAAGAACAAGAACAAGAAGAATATGGCGGAGAATGAGAAGAAGGAGATGAAGGTGCAGGTACAAGAAGAAGAAGAAGAAGAAGAAGAAGAAGAAGAACGTGCAGTATGACAAGAAGAAATGGGTGGTAGAGGAAGGCCAGAGGAATCAGAATTTGGAGCAGGACAGAAAGAACAAGAACAAGAAGAATATGGCGGAGAATGAGAAGAAGGAGATGAAGGTGCAGGTACAAGAAGAAGAAGAAGAAGAAGAAGAAGAAGAAGAAGAAGAAGAAGAAGAACGTGCAGTATGACAAGAAGAAATGGGTGGTAGAGGAAGGCCAGAGGAATCAGAATTTGGAGCAGGACAGAAAGAACAAGAACAAGAAGAATATGCAGGCGGAGAATGAGAAGAAGAAGAGATGAAGGTGCAGGTACAAAAGAAGAAGAAGAAGAAGAAGAAGAAGAAGAAGAAAGAAGAAGAAGAACGTGCAGTATGACAAGAAGAAATGGGTGAAGGTGCAGAGGAAATGGGTGGTAGAGAGAGGAATCAGAATTTGGAGCAGGACAGAAAGAACAAGAACAAAGAAGAATATGGCGGAGAATGAGAAGAAGGAGGAAGGTGAAGGTACAAGAAGAAGAAGAAGAAGAAGAAGAAGAAGAAGAAGAAGAAGCAGTATGACAAGAAGAAAGAACGTGCAGTATGACAGAAAAAGAACAAGAAGAAATGGGTGGTAGAGGAAGGCCAGAGGAATCAAATTTGGAGAAGGACAGAAGAACAAGAACAAGAAGAATATGGCGGAGAGGAATGAGGAAGAGAATTTGGGAGATGAAGGTGCAAGAACAAGAAGAAGAAGAAGAAGAAGAAGAAGAAGAAGAAGAAGAAGAAGAAGAAGAAGAAGAACGTGCAGTATGACAAGAAGAAATGGGTGGTAGAGGAAGGCCAGAGGAATCAGAATTTGGAGCAGGACAGAAAGAACAAGAACAAGAAGAATATGGCGGAGAATGAGAAGAAGGAGATGAAGGATGTACAAGAAGAAGAAGATGAAGAAGAAGAAGAAGAAGAAGAAGAAGAAGAAGAAGAAGAACGTGCAGTATGACAAGAAGAAATGGGTGGTAGAGGAAGGCCAGAGGAATCAGAATTTGGAGCAGGACAGAAAGAACAAGAACAAGAAGAATATGGCGGAGAATGAGAAGAAGGAGATGAAGGTGCAGGTACAAGAAGAAGAAGAAGAAGAAGAAGAAGAAGAAGAAGAAGAAGAAGAAGAAGAACGTGCAGTATGACAAGAAGAAATGGGTGGTAGAGGGAAGGCCAGAGGAATCAGAATTTGGAGCAGGACAGAAAGAACAAGAACAAGAAGAATATGGCGGAGAATGAGAAGAAGGAGATGAAGGTGCAGGTACAAGAAGAAGAAGAAGAAGAAGAAGAAGAAGAAGAAGAAGAAGAAGAAGAAGAACGTGCAGTATGACAAGAAGAAATGGGTGGTAGAGGAAGGCCAGAGGAATCAGAATTTGGAGCAGGACAGAAAGAACAAGAACAAGAAGAATATGGCGGAGAATGAGAAGAAGGAGATGAAGGTGCAGGTACAAGAAGAAGAAGAAGAAGAAGAAGACAAGAAGAAAAGTAGAGGAAGAACGTGCAGAATGACAAGAAGAAATGGGTGGTAGAGGGAAGGCCAGAGGAATCAGAATTTGGACAGGACAGAAGAAGAACAAGCAAAAAAGAAGAATATGGTGGGAGAATGAAAGAAGAAGGAGATGAAGGTGCAGGTACAAGAAGGAAGAAAGAAGAAGAAGAAGAAGAAGAAGAAGAAGAAGAAGAAGAAGAACGTGCAGTATGACAAGAAGAAATGGGTGGTAGAGGAAGGCCAGAGGAATCAGAATTTGAGCAGGACAGGAAAGAACAAGAACAAGAAGAATATGGCGGAGAATGAGAAGAAGGAGATGAAGGGCAGGAGAAGAAGAAGAAGAAGAAGAAGAAGAAGAAGAAGAAGAAGAAGAACGCAGTATGACAAGAAGAAATGGGTGGTAGAGAAGGAAAGAAGAAGGACAGAAAGAAAAGAAGAAGAAGAATATGGCGGAGAAGAAGAAAGAGATGAAGGTGCAGGTACAAGAAGAAGAAGAAGAGGACAAGAAGAAGAAGAAGAAGAAGAAAGTAGGTGGGAGGACAAGAAGAAAGAGAAAAAAAGAAGGTAGAGGAGGACAAGATGAAGCTTTGGAAAAGCGAATGAAATCTCTATATACACAAATTGTTTAATATTACGTTTTTTTAATAATTCCTAGTGCCCTATTGAACACAATCGAATACCATTTTAGCTTTTCAAATAAAAAAATCTGATTATTTTAGGATACACCTAATATTTCATATCAATAACAATTTTATAACAATATTAAAATTAATGTACTTTAGACATCAAATGTGTGATTTTGCAGAACGTTTAAAGACACAGACAGCGTAAACAAGATGGCAGCTGAAGGGATCTGCCGAGTTGTGATTCGAGGGTGGGGGGCTTACCAACCGACGAGGTTGGTAACCCCCCCCCATCTCGTGATCGTTTACGGCTTTGACCGAATCTCGAACTTGGCGCGGTTGAAACTGTTCGACTCTCACGAATATGGAGCCGTCCCCAAGTCCTCGTTCGCACGCATGAAGAAGAAACGAATGCGAGTACTAAGTTAGACACTTTTAGCTTTGTGGGTTGAGCCAAACGTCCGGCTAAGGTGCCTAACGCGCCATCCATGATAACTGCGAAATTGTGTCGGCCGATACAGACAGCAGGACGCTGGGCACAGAAGTCGGAATTCGCTAAGTGGATGCTGTGTAACAACTCACCTGCAGACAGTCTCCGAAAGATAGGCACCGTTCTCCTTCGTGTATCATGATATTCTCAAATGCTGTCGAATCTTATTCTCAATGAGCATACAACATAACCTCTCATACACATTGCGTCAGATGCATATATCCGTGCCTTATTGGGATTCATTGTTACTTGTTCTTTCCTGATCATTGCGTTCTGCAAGCTATTGATGTCTATGCTTGGTCTACTGATTGAAGGGGGTTTTGATAAGTACATCACCGACATGAACAAAGAGTTCTGCTGTCCGAACAAAAACTTTAAATGTTAATAGTCAGTCAGTTATGTGTCATGCGTGATACACGCTTAGACGATCATGTATCTTTTCATACATGACTGACGACGTAGATTTTTTCCCGGACTGCCATTTATTTCTGCGGTAGACCAGTTGCCATCCAAGGCTATAGAATCCGGATTCTCCTGCTATTTATCCATAGCTGGGGGAGAAGAAGAGGATTCATACCTTTCCCAGGAGTATTAGCACGTAAGTGAATGTAATGGATCCGACTGGAATTCGAACTCTGCTCTCCGATTCCTCAATCCGAGCCGCTATCCATTACTCCACCGTATTTGTAATTTGCATGTTGGGCAGCTCCTTTTGCTGTCAGCCATGCATTTATGTTTAGTCCTTTCTTATCGCTGCACTATCATCCGTATGAATTGTTGTATTTTCCTTTCTGTTTCTGCTACCAACACTGTGTCATCTGCATATCTTATGTTATTAAGATTGTGGCCACTAATGAATTCTGGTAGGAATTTCGTCACAGTTTGTTTGGGGAGTGACCATTACATGTAAAAGTTGATAGTTTGCATAATATATCAAATTTATTAAGCTTAACTTAGTTTGAGACATCCAATAAAGATAAAATTCAGTCTGATATAATCACGACACCATATATGCACTAGTTTTTAGCGACCACTGTCGTTGTTCAGTTGTGGGCCGAATCGGCTGTGTCGGTATTTTAGTCTTCACCGCTGTCTTCAGGCCAATACACCAAATGTCCCTTAATTAAACCAAAGCAGCTACCTTTTCACGAGGATAAATGCTTCTTTCTGTAGCATATGGACAATGGATATAGACCTTATGGGCTACTAGAACCATTTTGCCGACAACTCGAGTGAGAGAGGGACTTTTCCATTCTAGTAGTTGCAGAGCCACGTATTCTTATTGATAATTGTTGATTCGTCAATTCACGGGCCAATGATCAGGCACTGTCGCAACTTTTTTCTTTGTCCTTTTTTGTAGAACTTCTAATCGTCAACTGACCCTATTAAATATATTGTATTTTAAAAATACTATATGTTTCGAACAACTATTGTGACTATTTCTTTTAGTTGATTCGTTGTTCCTACTTCTTAATCTTAACTTATTCTTCTTTATTTTAACCACAAAATGTTACACTCACTACTTAATAGTAGATCAGTCATATTACGTTTTTTTTAAACATTTCACCCCAAGCAAGGAAATAAAGCCACTAAGAGACAAGAATATTACTGACTGTTAGAGAATATGAAAGAAAAAAATACTAGTAAGGAGAGAGAATAATAAAAGAACAATAATTAAAAAGACCTAAGATAACGATTGACATTGCATGAAAATTTTTGAAAAATGTTTTTTTTTATTAAAGTTGACTGGGGAACAAGAAGCTGGAAGAGAGTTCCACATGCGATAAAACTTATGGTTATATCGAACCATTTCCGCTTTAAAACGATGAGACCTTATCGCCAAACCAGTAATGCGCTTAAATTCATAAAGTCTCGGTACCATACAGAAAAGCTCATCAGAACAATTACCTCGAAAGTATTTATAGAAAAAAAAAAAAAAAAAAAAAAAAAAAAAGCTACGTTAGGGCCGTGGAAAGTGACTGAAGCCGAGATGCCAGGTCTGGATTCTTTTTTGTCTTTTTTCAAGAATCTCTAACTATATAGCAGGTGCACCAGACTAGAAATAGTAGCAATTTTCAAAGCACAGACTGAATGGTAGACTTATAAATATGTAAGGTAAATTCTGTCGAGAAAAATTGTCTAGCTTGATGCACTGAATCAACTTTCCCAGCTGCAGACTGAGCAATTGATTCTACCTCGCTAAAACCTACTCCATGTCGATTGGCCATAGTTAAGCTGTTATTACCATGAAAATTACATCATAAAATGCACAAATTTGCCTGTTGTAATAGTTAAAGATTTAATGTAGCAGATGATTAGATTGTGTCTTTGTGTCAGACGAAGTTCAAGCTAACAGAGTTCCTGAAGCGGTTATCATGCTTAACAAGATTGTTCTGTAGATCTGTTCCCTTGTGTCGTGATTTCGATCTTGAGCATCTATCCCAAAATATACTGTCTTGCGTTGGACTAAGCTAAGTTTAGAGATTAACCGTAAGAAATATATATATATATATATATATATTACATTCACTTACGTGCTAACACCCTTGGGAAAGGTATGAATCCTCTTCTTCTCCCTCCAGCTATGGGTAAAATAGCAGGACAGATTGGGTTCTATAGCCTTGGATGGCAACTGGTCTAGGAGAAGGACAACTCTGAATTCAAACCTGCTCTTAGCGGAGGGTGAATAGAGTCTCTCTGAGCTTTGGTTGGCAATCCATTTAGTGATGGTGTCACGATAAAAAAACACCCTTGATAGCCCTAGCGAAGCATCAAGAATTCAGCTATTTGACAAGATTATGAACTACACCAATCAAAGTATTGGTGAGTTCAATCTCGGCTGAGGCCGCAAGATGAAGAAATATAAGTACGCTTGCCAAAAAAAAAAAAAAAAAATTTTACATAAAACGTTTACCAGTAAGTGCTCGGATTACAAAACTCCCTTCTCGCCTCTGTTGTCGGTGTTTTTGATGTTTCTGAGCAGTACGAGACAGACATTGTGCGTGCGTGTTTTATCGCATTCGCCTTCTTATCTTTTGTTTGATTTTTGTTTGTTTATTCATATATGACCAGGTCGCGCGACGAGGGTTATTGGTATCATGTAATCCAGTACAAAATTTCTTTTATTATTCGGACACCTTGGGTGGGACAGAGTTTGAAAAAATATTATCGAAACAAAAAGTTATTTTTTTACACTATTTACATTGTTCGGACTGTTGTCCTTATCTTCGTTGTCATATTCACGACGTTTAAGCCGTTATACGCTCCAGCCTTCTTCAGGATCTGTCTATATTTTCTGAGGTCAGGTATTGTAATTATTTACAGTATTTACATTGTTCGGAAAGTTGTCCTCATTTTGTTGTCATATTCATCATGACGTTTCGGCCGTTGTACGCTCCGGCCTTATTCAGGTGATTGGAATTTCGAAATGAACCCTTTATTTAGTTCACTGAGTAAATAATAAAAAGGAAAATAAGAAAGCGAGTTATAAGAAGAGAAATAAAAAAGAAAGTAAGAAAGTAAATAAGAAAACAAAATAAAAAAGAGAGATAGTGAGTAATAAAGATTGAAAGAAAGAAAGAAAGAAAGAAAGAAAGAAAGAAAGAAAGAAAGAAAGCTGTGGAAATAAGAGATGCATTATGGGTAAATAGTAAAAAGGAAATAAGAAAGGGAGTCATAAGAAGAGAAGTAAAAAAGAAAGTAAGAAATTAAATAAGAAAAAGAAACAAAATAAAAAAGAAAGAAAGAAAGCCGTGAAACAAAAGAAAGAAAGAAAGTAATAATGATTGAAAGAAAGAAAGAAAGGCGTGGAACAAAATAAGAGATGCATTATGGGTAAATTGTAAAAAAGAAAAAAAGCGAATGATAGGAAGACAACGTCGATGAATTATCTGAGAAAGAAATAAAGTAAGAAAGAAAAAGAAATGGAAAAAGAAAGAAAGTTGTGAAACGAAATTTTATTATGTGTTGAATTATGGGTAAATGATTAAAAATGAAATGTGAAAGCGTGTAGAAAACTCGATGAATTATTTGAGAAAGAAAGAACGAAAGTAATAAATAAATAAAGAAAGAAGTTTAAGGTTTTCTCAAAGAAATGCAGTAAATAAAGTCAGTTTCGAAGGGATTGTTTTGCTGTGTGAATGGATGCGGTTGAAATAAGTTTTCGCCCCACATGACTTGACAGGCAAAATATTGTTGTTACAACAGCTATTGGCGCTAGTGTTGGGCCCGTTTCTGTCACACCGACGCGACTCTGTATCGAGAGTAAGGCTTGTGTTACTGCTCGCGTCCCAAGAACAATAAACAGAGGCCGAGCATTGACTTCCCGAGTATGCCAGGCGAGGGGAAAACCTTTTGAAGCCAGGCAAATGGTGTGCAGATTGGAGAACTATAGAATGGCACGAATATATATACACTGTCATACACTAACATTCCCACATACGCAAAAGAAAGGGCGTATATACCCGCCTTCACCGATTATGTATTCAAATCTCTGTACTACTAAGTGCGCTTAAGCCCATGCGGAAAAAGAAATATACATTACATATATATTGACACATTTAAAAAAATACACTGGTAGATTTCTATTTACAGAGCCCAGGAAGGTTTCTTGAATACAGAGAAACAACTTAAATATATATATATATATATATATATATATATATATATATATATATATATATATATATATATATGCTGAAAAGGTTAATAGTCAGAGTTGGATTAGACAGGAAACAATCGTATTAAAAAAGTGCTCAATACGCGTGAAAAATAAGAATAAAAAATTTAACATGTAGAGTTTTAAATTTAAAAAATTTGGAGATCAGTCGATTCCGCCACATTGTTTTCAACCTTTCAGTATCGTCAGGCGGTATACAATATATATATATATATATATATATATATATATATATATATATATATATATATACATATATATATATATATATATATATATATATATATATATATATATATATATATATATATATATATATATAGAGAGAGAGAGAGAGAGAGAGAGAGAGAGAGAGAGAGATAAATAGAATTAATGCAAATAAAAGGTTTGTCACTTAGCTGAGTGATGTTACTTTCGGCACACCGGCATCAGGTTTTGGTAGACGGCCCCTCCGGGAATTACTCCGTCCACTCGTCGGAGGGTATCAAAAATTGACTGTTTATGCTTCTAGTTTTTTCTTTTGATATGCACTTTTTATTGGTGCAAGTTTTTTATTGTATGTATGTGTGTGTGTGTGCGTGTGTGCGCGTGTGTGCGCGCGTGTGTGTGTGTGTGTAGAATGTCGGGATTATTTGTCCTTTTCGTCATTTTTTTGTCACTTTACACTCACTCCTTAAACTTTTCTCACTTCATTTTTTTCTTTTCTCTCTTTTCTTTCAATTGTTACCATTTGGTTTCCGGTTTCCTATACATATGCAACCGTTGTTAATTTTTTTTTTTTACTCACGATTAGCACAATTCTAAGTTTCGTGCACAATGCAACCGTCGAGTGCGGACTGAAAACTGATGTAACGATTGTAACGTGCATAAAGCTCAGAGTTGTAATAACGGTGAGGAGCAAAATGTATATTTATTAGTAGTAAAAATCTTTAGTATTCAATGTTTATATATATATATATATATATATATATATATATATATATGTGTGTGTGTGTGTGTGTGTGTGTGTGTGTGTGTGCGTGTGTGTGCGTGCGTGTGCGTGTGGTGCAGTTTAATTCATACAAAAATACATTAGTAAAGTTAATGAGATAAAATGGCGATTCACTTCGCTAACTAAATTTTAAAAATGAATTAACCCACTAACCATTGGATGAATATTATGATTCTTGTTTTTTTTAAAATGATAAACTGTATTAGGTCTTCTGTAAATATGCAAGTCCTTTTGATGAGTTCTCCGGTCATTATCAGACATGGAAACAACTTCCATTTTGGTAAAATTCAGGTAGCATCCGATACGAAAAAATATAATGCAAATCGAAACATGTTTTTTGAAGTGTGTTATTGACAACAGATACAAATTTTGGAGCGTGCTGTCGCAACGCCAACGTTGAATTTTTGCAATTTTAAGTGAGAACGGATTTTACTAATATGGCAATTTAAGAATTTTTTGCTGTAGGTGTTTATCAGTCAATGTGACATGAACTAAATAGTTCATTAAGTAGAGCAATGCCTCAGTTCTTTTCCGAAAGTATGCACAGCGGGTTAGTTCTTTTAAATCAAATATGTGGTGCAGTTTAACTTATATTGCAATGAATTATTCATACAGAAAGTAAATTAGTAAAGTTAATGAAATAAAATGGCGAACTTTACTAATTTACTCTTTGTATGAATGATTCAGAGTTATATATATATAAATATATATATATATATATGAATAAAAATGACAACAGGAAAACTTGTAATTGCTGACGCGTTTCGTCCAATGTGGACTTTATCAAAGCAAAATACGAAATGAATATGATTAAACAAGGTAACTAATAAAAACAAAAAACAGAATGTTCCTAGCAACTGGAATGTAGAGAAACGCTGTTTTCATATTTTTAACTTAAAATAACGTCAGTATTTGTCACGTGTGAAGAATATTGTCATTGTATCTGTGTTGATGTTCTTAACGATTTTTTTTTTATTTTATGAATCTGTTGAGTACATTTGTTTGTGAGAGCAGTAATTTTGTTAGGAAAGGTGAAACGGGGAAAAACCTGGGCGTAGATTAATATTTGGGTAATTTTCTATGGCGGCACTCTAGAATTTTCCTTCTGAGTAAGTTATTTTCTTTTTTTATGAGTGTAGCATTTTTAAAATCAGAATTATGGTTGAATTTATTTCTATGTATGACTAGTGCATTAGCTAAGTTGTTTTTTGTGAGGTCTCTTTTGTGCTCATAAATGCGTTTTTTTTAACTTCTACTTATTTCTCCAATATATTGGGATGAACAGTTTTGGCAAGTTATTTTATAAATGCCTGCTTCAGAAATATTATTGCTATTAATGTTTGAAGATCTTAGTATATCAATAATGGTTTTGGAAGTGTTTGTGACTATTTCAAGATTATTTAGATGGGATAGGTTATTCTGGATAGTGGATGTGACAGAATTCTCTACTTTATAGTTGCTAGTAACATTCTGTTTTTGTTTTTATTAGTTAACTTGTTTAATTATATTCATTTCGTGTTTTGCTTTGATAAAGCCCACATTGGACGAAACGCGTCTGAAATTACTAGTTTTCCTATTGTCATTTTTATTCATAAATATTGTCTTCTCTACTGGTTAAATCGGAGAAATTTTCATTTATATATATATATATATATATATATATATATTGTATATAGGGGCAGCAGATCATTATTCAAACATATATTGTTAGATATAACAGGCAACGAATGTCTACTATGTTTGATCATGAGCCGTTCCAAGCGTCGTATAATGATTTTAGTTTCAAGAGGAAATAAAAACAAAAACTGTCCATGATTTGGATTTTTCTTTATTATATTGTTCGTCAATCTAAGCTTCCGGCTCACATGAGCCAACATCAGAGTAATTATATGGACATTATAACAGAGATGTTCACCGTCAAAGATGATATCTTGTTTTGTTTACATAGAAGTTTCCTATGCGACAATAACGGTCGCAGAATAGCAGGCGCAGGTCGTAAATTCGTAATGCGGTTCAATGACGTCGCACATGACAATGTGAGAGAAAGAAATGTTATCAAACATAACCATATGTTTAAATGCATTGTAATATGTTGTGACTGGTTTGAAATATGATTTTGTTGAGTGTAGGTCGCTTTGTTTTTGTTTTGTTTATTTATTCATCCACGTCTGTTCGTATAACCACTCTGATGTTGATTTATGTGAACCCAAAGTTTAGATCGACGACCAATATAATAAAGAAATATCCAAATGTTGGACAGTTTTTGTCTTTATTTTCTCTTGAAACGAAAGCCATTATACGACACTTGGAACGGTTCATGATAAAACATAATAGACATTTGTTATCTGTTATATTTAACAATATGTTTGAATAATGATCTGCTGCCCCTATACAATATATATATCAACATAACCGTAAAAATTACATTTGAAACCAGTCACAACATATTACAATGCATTTAAACATATAGATTTAAGCAAACATAGAAATAAATTCAAACATAATTTGATTTTATAAATGCTACGCTCATAAAAAAAAGAAAATAATTCATTTAGAAGGAATCCTCGAGAGTGGCGCCATTGCATATTATCCAAAAAATAATCTACACCCAGGTTTTTCCAAATATCATCTTTCCTAACAGAATCACTACTCTCCCAAGCTAAAGTACACAACAAATACATCAAGAAATCAAAAGAAAACGGTTGAATCCGTAAACACAACAATACAAACAATATTTCTACATATGAAAATATTCTCTTCAAACAAAGTAATTGACGTAATTTTTCAGTTGACCATACGAATATACAATAGCGTTTCTAAATTCTTTTAGTTGCTATCGACATTTTGTTTGTTGTTTATAGATACTTTTTTTCAATAAATTCATTTCGAAAACTTGAAAAAGTCCACATTGGACGAAACGCGACAGCTAAAACTACACAGTTTTCCTATTATCTTTTTTCCATTATACATACATATATATATATGTAAGCAAATATATGGATATAGATCCGACAGTATGAAGAAAAATACAGAAAAAAACAAGCAAAAATTTTAACATGCAATTATGCTGTATTAATGTTAATATAAAGTCGACGTCGGACGTTTTGGTCTATTTAAGACCATCTTCATGGACATTTTCATTTAAACATAATTAACATTAGAAACATATAAAAATTTAACACCGAAAAAATAGACCGAAACGTCCGACGTCGACTTTATAT